CTGAAACACAGCCACAGACAGCGTGTAGACCTGAAACACAGACAGCGTGTAGACCTGAAACACAGCCTCAGACAGCTTGTAGACCTGAAACACAGCCACAGACAGCGTGTAGACCTGAAACAGTCACAGACAGTGTAGACCTGAAACACAGCCACAGACAGCGTGTAGACCTGAAACAGTCACAGACAGCGTGTAGACCTGAAACAGTCACAGACAGCGTGTAGACCTGAAACAGTCAAAACACAGGTAGACAGCTGAAACACAGCCACAGACAGCGTGTAGACCTGAAACAGTCACAGACAGCGTGTAGACCTGAAACACAGTCACAGACGGCGTGTAGACCTGAAACACAGACACAGATCAGAGCCGCTCCTGCACCAGAGCCGCTGCGTCCCTCACGTCTGCTCACCTTCTCGGGTTGCGTGAAGGTCCCGGCATTGCAGGGTGTTCTGGGGTCCCAGAGCCTCACAGACATGTCCCAGCTGCCCGTCACCATCACATTGACCTCCGGACAGTATTCCACACAGCGAATGGGAGCGTCGTGCGTCCCCACGATTGTGTCTGAGGAAGAGCACAGATGCAGTCACACACCAGCGTGTCGTGTTTAAAGGGATGCAAAATTCACTTTTACATGTTGTTTGAACTGAAATGTGTGTTGGCAGTGTGTACACAACCACACTATAATGATAAAAATCCACCCAGTGTTTTTTTTATAAATCCCCATAAATAATGACCCCTTTCTCAGATCAAGCCGATCTCAGATTCTTGGAAGAGTGACGTCACACAGACCCAGGCCCCTCCCACGATTCTTGATTGACACTGGTGTTTTAGCACAGACCCGCACTGGGTGAGCTGTAGACAGTAGGGATGGGCATTTTTGGCAATTTGTCATTTCGATCATCAATAGGTTTCAAAAACGAGTATTCGGGGGCGGGGCATGGCCGTAAAGGAGATAATAAAAAATATCTGAAGACTAGGGGTGGGCGATATAGCCTCAAAATGATATCATGATATTTTTTGAAGAATATTTGCGATAACGATATTTATGACGATATAGAAAAAAACATGGAACGTTTTATTGGTGATTGCAGCTGGCAGGCAGCAGCATTTATTAGTGCAAACAAAATGAAGGGCATTTCCCATCCTTTTCCAATGAGCTACTGTCATCGATGACAGACTACCTAATTCGAAGTGTAAATCTATTGTCATAAGGTGGCAGCAGCAGCTGTGTGTTGAAGCAGACCGATCCGTGTATGACGTCAAAACACCGCGAGTGACTTACCCCTTATTTACCTCTAATTTACACTGCATGCGTCTGCGACCACCTGAGCTGATCGCGGCCACTCTAGTCAATGCTCGTGTTTACACCAGTGGTGCCACGGCACGTTTCTCTCGGCTCTCCGCACCGCTTCGCTAAAGATATGCGCCTCGCCCATTTTTGACGGTAAGAGTGTGCACTCGAATATGCTCTATAACCGCTCTCACGATACTTTGATGTCATACACTGATCAGTCTGCGCAGCGCTGCTTCAAGTCGAACACACCTATTGGGTTTGTGGTGTTGTTGTTGTGCGCGCTAGTCAAATGCTCCATACGTCATCGCGTCGCTATATCATTGATATCACGATATGACACTTTTTTTTTTATCATGTAAAAATGTATTATCTATTATTTATTTATTATCGTGGATGGTATGATATGGCACACCCCTACTGAAGACTTATGAAAATTAATGTTACAAATAAAAATATGACATGAAAACCTGCTGTCTGATCACCGCCAGATCAATCTTCTCATTAAAGGGGAAAACAGCAAATCAAGGGACATTCATAAAAAGCCAATTCATCTACATAAACTCAAAACACCATATAGATGGACTCGTAGTGCTGCTGAAACATATATTAAAGTATTGAAGTCAAATGAAATAGTCAATTCCATAACACTGTTTAACAATTCAACATATGATAATAATTGGAAAGGAATAAATTTAGCAATTAAACATATTAATGACATTTTTGAAAATATAGCAAGAAAGGCTAATTTAAATTAAACTACCACATATAAACACAAAAATAGAGCTAAACAAAAACCTTCTGAAAAGTGGTTTGACCATGACTGTAAAACAATAAGACAAGAGCTACGATTCATTTCCAATCAAAAACACAAAGATCCAGTCAACTCAGAATTACGCTCAGAGCACTCAGAACTTCTGAAACAATACAAAAACACACTGAGACAGAAGAAATTGGATTATTATAACAACACACTTCAGAAGATGGAAAACACAATTGATCAGGGTCAGTTCTGGAGCATGTGGAACAGTCTAAACAATACAAAGCCACAAGAACTAGCTATACAAGATGGTCAAATTTGGAAAGATTATTTTGAGAAGCTCTATACACATCAAACTGACCCTCTGAATAATCCCAACCAATTAAAAGTTCTTGAAAAATTGAATGCTCTTGAATCATGTATCAAAAACAACCAAAATCCACTAGATTATCCAATAACCCAACAAGAACTTGGTGGAAAACTGAAATCCCTCAAATGTAAAAAATCCTGTGGCCCTGACAACATAAAAAATGAGATGCTTAAAAACAGCTCTCCTGAATTTCAGACTGCATTACTCAAACTTTTTAACTTGATTTTGAGTTCAGGCGTTTTCCTGAGGTCTGGAACACAGGACTCATCTCTCCGATCTTTAAAAGTGGAGACAAAACAGATCCTAATAACTACAGAGGGATCTGTGTAACCAGTAATTTGGGAAAAGTATTTTGCTCAATAATCAACTCTCGGATTTCATCTTTCTTAAAGCAGCACAATGTCATCAGCAAATCTCAAATTGGCTTCCTCCCTAAACACCGAACCACTGACCATATTCACACACTACACACGTTAATAAATGAACATGTACACCAAAAGAAAGATGGAAAAATATTTGCATGCTTCATAGATTTTAAGAAGGCATTTGACTCCATTTGGCATAATGGATTGTTTTATAAAATCATTCAAAGTGGCATAGGGGGCAGAATATATGACTTAATTAAAAACATGTATAACCAAAATAAATGTGCAGTAAAAATTGGACAGCAAAGGACAGACTATTTCTCTCAACAGCGAGGAGTGAGACAGGGCTGCTGCCTCAGCCCGACTTTATTTAACATATATATCAATGAACTGGCAGATCTACTGGACCAATCAAACAGTCCAGGACTACAATTATTCCACACAGAAGTCAAATATTTACTGTATGCAGACGACTTGCTAATTCTATCTAAAACACCAGAAGGTCTCCAGAACAACCTTGACATTTTAACTAAATACTGCCACGATTGGGCCTTAGACGTCAACATCCCAAAAACTAAGATTATGATATTTCAGAAAAAAAACAGAAATCTAGAACATAAACATATATTTACTTTAAACAACACCACACTTCAACATGCTTTACAATATAATTATCTTGGTCTGGTTTTAACTCCCACTGGAAATTTCAAATTGGCAATTAAAACATTACTTACAAAAGCCCGCAGGGCACTGCATGCCATACGAACGAAATTATTCAAAATAAACATCCCCATCAGAATTTGGACAAAGATAGAGTGTGAGAGAGAGAGAGAGAGAGTGTGTGTGTGAGAGAGAGAGAGAGTGACAACCTTGACATTTTAACTAAATACTGCCACGATTGGGCCTTAGACGTCAACATCCCAAAAACTAAGATTATGATATTTCAGAAAAAACCCAGAAATCTAGAACATAAACATATATTTACTTTAAACAACACCACACTTCAACATGCTTTACAATATAATTATCTTGGTCTGGTTTTAACTCCCACTGGAAATTTCAAATTGGCAATTAAAACATTACTTACAAAAGCCCGCAGGGCACTGCATGCCATACGAACGAAATAAACATCCCCATGACAAAGATTACAAAGATTTTTGATAGTGTCATACTGCCTATTGCCCTGTATGGAAGCGAGATCTGGGGCAACTCCAGTCACTCCAGTCATAAGGACTGGCACAAACACCCTTTAGAAGCTCTGCATGTAGAGTTCTGCAGAAGCATCCTTCATGTGCACAGAAACACACCTAATAACGCCTGCAGAGCCGAGTTAGGCCGTCTCCCCCTAAATCTAATCATTAAAAAAAGAGTTCTTAAGTTCTGGATCCACTTAAACTCTAGTTCGGAGGATTCTCTTCATTTTAAAGCACACAAAACACAAAAAAGGAGTGCTCAAAAAAGTCATCTTTGTGTAATGGTGTCAGATCTGACTAACTCGATATCACCTATCACCAACCCTGAAAAACATGGGAGAATCAAAGAAATTATGAATGAAGAGAAGGAGACATACATACAGCATTGGAAAGAACAAACCAAAGACCAAAGTCGTCTCCAATGTTATCTGAAACTCAACAGAGAGTACAGTCTGGCTGACTATCTGGTCTCAGTCAGGAATATAACACACAGACATTTACTGACCAAGTACAGACTGAGTGACCACCAGCTGGCCATAGAGAGAGGACGACATAAAAACACGTGGTTACCTAAAGAAGAGCGAATCTGTACTGAATGTAGATCAGGATCAGTTGAGACGGAGGAGCACTTCCTCCTTCACTGTGACAAATACACGTCCTTAAGAGACTCACTGTACAGTCAAATACAGCAGAACATTCCTGAGGCCGAGTACTCGAGCACTCGATCACTGTTGCACATCCCTAGCAGACAGTCCGCCAGTGTTTCACCGCCGGAGCAGATGTAGACAAGAATGACTCCTAAGCGATTGAGGTGTTCTGTTGTTGGGTACATAGAAAAAGTCTTAGATCTTTGAGTTCAGCTCATGAAAAATGGGGGCAAAAACAAAAGTGTTGCATTTATAATTTTGTTCAGTGTAAATGTGTCCATGTTCACGCAGATCATTCGTGATCCAGCTTCACCTCCAGAAGAAGTGAGTATACGTTTTTTTAATGAATCTTTGCAAATTGCCTTTCCTAATAATGTGCTAATTAGCAAGTTCCCGCAGCTAAAGTTAACAGTCTCTCAGAGAACGGCTTGGACGAGGGGCGGGGTCAGCAGAGCTCATTAGCATTTAAAGGGACATGCACCAAAACGGCTCGCTGTGAACAGAGCTTTTTTTGACAGGGTCGTTTTACACTACCATTGAGAAATGTTCACCAAAGTATGTTACAGACTTTTCATGAAGGCCCTGAATCATATCAACTTGTGGAAAACGGGCATCCGATGACCCCTTTAAACTCACCCTGATCCGTGTTGAGATCGTGCGTCTTCAGCTGGCTGTCCAGACCGCCGCTCCACGCGTGAGTCGGATCCTGAAACGACACGAGACACAGAGATCAAACACGGGAGCGAGCGACACAGGAGCGGTTCTGCAGGGTTTCTGTGATGCCCCTCACATAGAACGCGCAGTCCAGAACCGGTGCCAGATGCTGGTACTTCATCCTCATGCTGTTAGCGCTGACGTCGAACAGACGGACCGTACAGTCCCACGACGACACCAGCAGGAACTGAGCCGAGCTTGGGCTGAACTTCACAGCCGAGACGCTGTCCTCCGGACCCTGGGTCAGCTTGAACTCATTGGCTCCGGTCATCTGAGAACACACCACACACACACACACACACAGAGACACACACACAGACAGACAGACAGACAGACAGACACAGACAGACACACACACACACACACACACATTTATCTATAACTGTTTTATTTCCTATTTGGTTTTATGTATATGCTTTATTTTTTGAGATTAACGGTTTTTCCCAGGCATGTGTTAGATGCCAGTGTTTTCTGTCATAACTGCAAAGATTTGAATTCAAAAACATCATCAGCTATTAAACGGTTTCTTGTTATGATTATAAATCTGTATTTAACCTCAGAATGATCTCAAAGTAAAAATAGGTGCTAAAGTCTGATTTTGCGGTTACTGTGCTTTAAAAATTAAATTATTATAATCTTAATTCAAGTGAAGAAGGATTTCGAAACTGACAGTAATCAGTGCTGAGTAACTTAATCCTGTAATGCCTGCTTTACATGTTTGAAAACGATTAACAGTTCAAAACATTAGACATTTAGAAAAGTACATTACATCGTAATCAATACTCCTAATCCGTACTCGGACTCAAGCGGAGTCTCACTGACTGAACTCCACCAAACGGACTTTAGATGAATGTAACGTTAATATTTATTTTAGCGTCAGATTGAGTCTGAATAACGCGCGCGGCTGCTAAAGCCTAAAACGGCCGTTTTTTTATTCAGAGCTGAAGCTTGCTCTGTGATATCCGAGTAAAACTCTCTGAAACACAGCTGAGCGTTTTATTAATCTTGTCTTAAAAGTTTATGAAATAATCAGAATTTCCGTTAAATCTCACCGTGCTGCTGCTGCATCGACGCGCTACTCTGATTGGACGCATTCACAGCAGAGCTCCGCTCTCATTGGTGCGTTTCAAAACGCCCTCTAATGTTCATCTTCTTCGGTGAGTTTATTGGCGGGTTGCAATCCAACTGGAACGTGCATACCGCCACCTACTGTACTGGAGTGTGACGAAGATGGAACGCAAAGATTTCTATATTCTGTTCTTTAGACTTCATTAATGCAGTAATTATTTTATTAAATTCTACTCCAACCGTTAAAATATTATATAAGGTAAAATACCCCAAAAGCTTGCATATCTCTTATAAATTCTCTAACGTTTTCTAGCGATTACTGGTTACAAGGATTAACTTCCGGGCATGAAACAACTAAATACCGCGAGATGTTGCGTATTTCCGGCTGTTGAATCAGGCTTGTGACGATAGATTAGTGTTTTAATTTTATTTGTTATCCGGTATATTTGAAAGCTTTTGTAATGAGGGTCTGACTGAGATCATGTTCACTGTCAGTCATTATGTAGGGTATGATTGATCTCATTGTGTAATATGTTCCAGTATAACTGTATGATGTTCACTGTGTGATTATAAACACTTTAATCATATTCTGTGTCTGATCGTGTGCTGTGTTAGTGGCACATGGTAATATTATATGAAATTATGTCATATGATAAAAAAAAGGTAGGATCATGGTACTTCTGGTTTTCTTTAGCGTAATAGAGTTGTCTTAAATTAAATCCAAAAAGGGTTTTGCTCTATTCCAAGAAACTGTCTTTCATTCAAAATAATGTCACGTGCTTCATGTAGCTGTCAAAGATTATTATGACTTATTTGTATTATCTACTTACAGTATGTCTCTGATGTTGCTGTTGGTGTCGTCTTTTTTCAGTTACTTTTATTTGACACAAGTTCACATTCAGGTGATATTTTAAGGGTTGATTACAGATTTCATCTTCAACACAGAAATGTTTATTTTCTTGCCTTAAAAATGAACTTCTCCCGATGTTCCGAAAGAAGGTTATTTGTGACGGAAGACAATTCAAACATTAAAAAGAAACATCCAAATACATTAGACAATTGATTCACTGTAGGCTATATCATGTAGAAAGTGTAAAATGTGGTTCCCCTCCTATTTTCATGATGAAGAGCTTCCGAAAGCACTTCTGTCAGGTCACAGTTATTTATACAGCACTTTAATGAGGAGCCTTGTGTTCTACAAAGGGGAATGGTTAGATAATGTTAGAAAAACCCAGTTTTTTGTACAAAGCAAATTGATAGAGTCAAGTCATGTCAAGTCACCATTATGTATATAGCACTTTTTACAATGCAGATTGTGTCAAAGCAGCTTTACAGTATTAAACAGAGAAACAGTGTGCCGTTCTCCTCTGGCCAGACGAAGCAGTTCAGCTCCAGGCTGCAGCAGAGTCAGATTGTGCAGAGGACTCATCTGGTTCCTGTGGTCTTGTCCCGGTGGCCGTCTGAGAAGGTCTTCACTGGGGATCTGTCTCTGGGGCTCATCTAGTAGTCCTGGTCTCCGCTGACATTCAGGGCTGTCGAGGTCTAACCCTAAGATTTTAAAATCTCTACAATGTTTAATAGGGAGCCAGTGCAGTGTTGACAGAACCGGGCTAATATGGTCATACTTCCTGGTTCTAGTAAGAACTCTAGCTGCTGCATTTTGGACCAGCTGGAGTTTGTTTATTAAGCGTGCAGAACAACCACCCAATAAAGCATTACAATAATCTAACCTTGAGGTCATGAACGCATGGATGAACTTTTCTGCATTTGACATTGAGAGCATAGGTCGTAATTTAGGTATATTTCTGAGATGGAAAAATGCAGTTTTACAAATGCTAGAAACGTGGCTTTCTGAGGAAAGATTGCTATCAAGTAGCACACCTAGGTTCCTAACTGATGACGAAGAACTGACAGAGCAGCCATCAAGTGTTAGTGTCATACAGATCTAACACTGAGCAGAAAACCACTCTGTAAAATCCAAACTGATGTGTGTAATCCTGTTACACAGACTTCATAATGTCTATTAGACAGGTGATGATTGTGACTGGAGTATTAATACTCGCTGCTGCTCCAGAATTCCAGTGGAAAGCGTTTAATATGCAGTCCAGCTTCATGAATATGAGTTATTAATTCTGAATCAGTTATGAACTTACTGAAAATGTCTGTTTTCTGAGCGTCCCAGAAACTCTGCAGCTCTCTGCATCAGCGGACACGCGCTTTTCTACTGGAAATATTAATATTAATAAATAAAATCGTCCTGAAGTTTGGAATATGATCCCGTGCACGCCAGTCAGAGCACGCGCACAACATAAAGCGTAGTTTATGAAAATCAGATGTGAATGATCTTTTAATTAATATTTATCTCGTAGTGATTGATCCCATTAAAAATCTAAAACCCCGATTATTTACTCTTAGATGCTGTTTTAGCTGCAGATTAAAAATGCATGATATTATTGCCTTATACATGAAGCGAATTCTCACACATTTGTAGCTACTTACATTTAAGATTTTAATATTTTAGTGTGCGGTTTTGCAGAGAATATTTTTTAATAATAATGATTCACGAATTTCGGTGAAAATATAAATGCTACTGTGCATTAATAGCCTACTAAGAAATAAAGGATTTTCAATGGATTTATTTTTACGCGACATATAGCCTGTTGTTGGTAAACATTATCAAACAATAATCAGTGGTGTTTATAATGCTTAGTGAATCAAAAACTCATATTCTGTTCTCCTCATTACAAGCATTAATTGATTGTTATTTGGCGCCAGCAACAGATAATTTAATTGAACGCGGTGAATGAATGAAATTCTCTGACAGAATGATAATTATTAACATATTTTTATTAATGTTATAATATAATTTTAGCGGTGATCATGTCAATTACAAATGCGTAAAACCCGCGCCTTCATAAAAACACTGACTTTATGTTATTTGTATTCTCTATATATAATATTAAAGACAATAGAAAATAAAGAAAAATAATGATTACAAGAATAGTTCATAATTACAATAGAAGCGCTTTATTAAGTCACTCCGAGAACATCTTCAGAATCACAAACACATTCAAACATCAATTCTTAATTCTTTTTAAAACATTAAAAAGATCTTACAGCATGATTAAAAAATATACAGAAAAAGTGTTTTTCCAGCATTTCCTTATTTTACTGACATGAGACACAAACACAGAAAACCCGAGACTGACTGACTTTAGTGCGGCATTTAGACACATCTTTAGGGAAAAGAGAGAAAATCCGCCTGTTTCAGGCTCATAATAATAATAATAATAATAATAATAATAAACACAGCTGCACCTGTGATTTGCTGAACCAAGCGCTCCTCAACAAAGCAAGACTTTTTATAATAAAAATAACAGCTTTCTGTTTTAACAGACACCGAGTTCAGGGTTGGTCAGTCTGTGAGACAGAGTTAACTCCTGGATCTGATGCAGGGTCAGGTGGTTAACTCTCTGATGGGTTAGTTGTGGCGCTTTTCCACTGCGTGGTACGACTCGGCTCGGCACGGCTCGGCTCGGTTTGCGTTTCCACTGCAGTTTAGTATCGCTTTAGAGTGGGCGGGATTATTCACATGTCATTATAGTTGCGCCGCCTCTACTACCACGACTCCTAAAAAAAACTTTAATTCCGCGTCGCCCCATCAAGCTCTCGCTGGATCTGCTCCTCTGCTATCAACGAGAGGAACGTCTGTTCTTCCGCAACAGACAACAAAACTTTTTGGTTGTTAAAAAAAAGGTGCACTCGTTCAAAACAGTTGCGTTCGATCCTTCGCTGGCTGTGCTGAGTTAAATCTAGCGGTTATTTTGTGTTTGTGTCGCAAATTTAGTGACGCAGGTAGTGACGATTCTCTCCAGCCAATCCGTGATCAGCAGAGTTTACACGTCACGTTTTGGTAACGGTACGGTTCACTTGGAACCCCAACCGAGGTGGTACTAAAAAAAGTACCAGGTACTGTACCCAGTGGAAAAACCCCCAAAAGTGAACCTTACCGAGCCGTACCGTACCATGCAGTGGAAAAGAGCCATTAGTTAGTTAGTTAGTTCAGGTCAGTCTCAGCGCGTGCGGGTAATACAACGCGTGCACGAAGGCCAGGGCCGCGGGGGCACGCTCTCTCTCCGCGTGCTCGTGGTAGAGGACGGGCACGCGCACGATCCTCTGCGCGTGCCCGTGGCTGGCGGCCTCCAGCTCGGCGGAGATCTGTCTCTTCCACTTGTTCCTGCGGTTCTGGAACCAGATCTTCACCTGCGTCTCGCTCAGGTGCAGCGACGCGGCAAGCCCCGCCCGCTCCGAGCTGCTCAGGTAGCGCTTCAGGTCGAAGGTGGACTCCAGCTGGAACACCTGAGCGCGGGAAAACACGGTCCTGGTCTTCTTCTTGCGGCAGAGCTTCTTCTGAGAGCTCTCCTCCGTCTTCTGCTCGTCCGAGTCTGAGTCCAGGAGCAGCTCCTCATCCGAGTCTTTAGGGTCCGGATCCTGCGCCTCTGCCGCGCCTCTGCCTCCATCTGCTGCTCCACACACAACACGTCAAAATAGAGTTCAAACAAAACACGTCAAAATAGAGTTCAAACGAAACATGTCAAAATAGAGTTCAAACAAAACACACAACACACGTCAAAAAAGAGTTCAAACAAAACACGGCAAAATAGAGTTCAAACGAAACATGTCAAAATAGAGTTCAAATGAAACATGTCAAAATAGAGTTCAAACAAAACACATCAAAATAGAGTTCAAACGAAACATGCCAAAATAGAGTTCAAACGAAACACGTCAAAATAGAGTTCAAACGAAACAAGTCAAAATAGAGTTCAAACGAAATATGTCAAAATAGAGTTCAAACAAAACACGTCAAAATAGAGTTCAAACAAAACAACACACGTCAAAATAGAGTTCAAACGAAACACACAACACACGTCAAAATAGAGTTCAAACAACACACAAAAAAAGAGTTCAAAAACAACACGTCAAAATAGAGTTAAAATAGAGTTCAAACAAAACACACAACACACGTCAAAATAGAGTTCAAACAACACACATCA